TTTAAAGGAGGATATAATAACTAGAAAAATAACAAAGGAGCTCCAGGAAGATATGGTCAGACTGCTTTTAAAATTGTTTACAGTGGCATATGTATGTCTAGTATGGACTAGACATACATATACCTTTCATTTGCCTTTCATTATGTACAAACAATTGGGGCTTGTGCTTGTCCTGAGAATCATTTTATTATATGGTTCACTTAATTTGTTGGTTAATTTTTCAGCGGGGTAATGAATCTCAGTGGATCAGCTGGGAATATGCAGGAGAGGGAGGATCATGAATATTACAATGAAATTCCAGGGAAGGAGCCTCCTACAGGTGGAGTATCAGACATACGAACGAAAGTGCAAACAGACCAAAGGGCTAACTGTCCCATACAATGTGAAAAGCAATATTGTTTGGTAAGTAAGTCTATTTCTGGTATAACTTATCCCTCTCTGTTCTTGGGAAGGGAGTATACTGCGGTGAAGTCTCTATGTATATTCATACAATCAGATCTGAGTCTTTCCTGTCCTGAGGAAGGGGTTTTAGGCTAGGTAGAATATATTTGCATCACAAAGTACTTTATTAACATTAATGGACACATCGCTTCAGTGCCCTCGAACCCTTGGTCAGAAGAAAGGAAGAGACCTGGATTGAAATGACTTATCCAAGATCACCCACGTACAAAACCTCAGAGCTGGCTGGCTCTCAGTCTTGTATTCAGACCAGCAGACCAAAATGTCATTATGTCGTGCAGCTTCTGTGTACCAGGTGCAATTTATTACTTAGTTAATTGCCAGTGTGTTTCAAGCTACAGGGCACTCAGGAGCTCTTAGGTGTTTGACCTCAGAACAGTCCGGGTTTAGACGACCAGGGAATGAAGCCAGGGGAGTTCAGACCTGCTACACAAACTTCAAAGCGTGCTGGGTCTAGTGCTCCTGTTTATCTGAGTGTGCAGACTTACATTCCCAAGGCCAGGGAAATGGATACCACCTTTGCAAGTCTCTGAAAGGTCTACACTGCCTCCATGCTGAGCACACACATACTGCTGAAAAGCAGGCAAAAGGCAGGACAGATTTGAACTGTATAGATTAATAAAATGTGAGATGCATACATTTTCATAAGCAGCAGCCTACTTCAGATGCAAAAATGGACTGTAAGAAGCAGAGCTTCTAAAAAAACAGTGATTAGAATACAAAGATTGTATTAGAATACAAAATATGAATCTGAAATAGTTGTGTGTGAGGACAAAGTGGGAGAGTGTGATGGAAATAGAAGCAGTGTCCTCATCAAAGATAATGTTCTTTACGCCTTGTGATGCATCTTCATGAGAGATGTTGATATACAGAGGTGTGACATCCTTTGTAGCTAGTATGATGGTAGCTGGAAGCTTGTCAGTGGAAGGTGATTTCTTTAGGAAATCTGTAGCGTCTTTCAAATAGCTGGCAGCTCTCGTGGCATATTGGAATAAAATAGAGTTAACAGAGTCAGAAACTCCCTCTGTGGTCAAGCCAATACCAGAGACAATGGGGTGTCCTGGGTTGCTGGGCTTGTGGATCTTGGGTAATAAGTAAAACGTCCACACACATCTAGACATGCCCTAGGAGCTGTCCTCCTTGTGCTGTGTATAAGTCAGGTCTGTCATGGGTTGATCATTGTGTTTGGCTCCTTATAATAGGAAAATTCCCTTAGTTTTAGGTGATGGAAAATAGTCTGGAAGTTTCCTTACAGCTGCACCTTATTGAATTGCATAGTGGGGTATAATAAAAGACCATGGGATAATAGAGGCACCTTGGCTGGGCTGAGCAGTGGTGTGTGGGCTCCAGGCTGTTCGGGGGGGAGGGGGGCAGGGTGCTGACCAGCCCACAGCAGCTCCCCAGAACTGCCTATGAGGCCCGTGGTCAAAAATAATTGCCTACCCCTGGTCTAAACTGAGCCCATGGATTCTTATCCCATCACCTGGAATATGCACTTTGCTTCTCCCAGGAGTGCTCGCTCCCTTTTTCTCCCCCTTCCCTATCCTTTGTAGTCTAATCACTGCTTTCTGTTTAGAAGCTCTGATTCCTGCAGTCCCTTCATAGCAGCTGATGAAGTAAGGTGCTGCTAAGGAAAGCTTATGAATCTCAGATTTAGTTAGTCCGTACGGTGTAAATCTACCCTGCCTTCTGACTAACTTTGGACTAACATGACTAACTGCCTCTCCTAGCTGAGAAGCAGGCCTTGCTAACTCGTTCCCACTCCATGGGCACCAGATTCCAGAAATTAGGTTGCTTTAGAGCAACTTTGGATGCACCTGTAAGCTCATCCCAGATAAGGACCCTAAGAGCAGCACTTGGCTCACACTTAGTGCCACTCCAAAGCAGCTATGTAACGTTACCTCATTTCCAGGATTCGGCACTTGTGGAATAGGAGTGGATGAGCGGGGTGTGCTTCCTGGTCACTCTTGTATAAAGGTAGTGCAGACATGCCTTGAGTCTATGTTTGGGGATATCTAGAACTGGTGCAGGAAGGGAATTTACAGCAATTGTGGCTTTGAGGAAGCAGTTTGTTGAGGGGCAGTGTGCAATCCCAGCAGATTTAACTACTTAACTGATGTCTGCTTCACTGGGCATTGTGTAACTGAGACTGCCTTCCCCTCAGAAGTTAATTTCTCAGTACTTCCTTTCAACACTGAAGATCCTTTAATGCCACACAGACCACATTCCTTTTATCCCGTGTTGCCTATAGTCCTGCCCCGTTTTTATTTCAAGAAACATCAGTGTAAAAACAGGATCTTTGTTGCCTAGAAGTTAATCTGATCCTAGTGCATTTTCCTCCATGGACATCATCAGAGATCTATTTGTTACATCACAGCCATCTCCCTAGCAACTAATTGTGATGTTTCAAACAGAAGGTTGTGACTTCAAGGAAGGAATTGGTCCCAGAAGCAGAACTGCTTTTTGGCAACAAAATACTATTTTCATTAAAATATCCTTTGTAATAAAGTAAAAACAAAGGGTTGCTCATTAGGGGAAGCAGAGCTTGTCTGCCCAGTACTGTTGAGCATTAACACTTTGCTAGCCAACAGATATGAAATGATGTTAAATTGGTTTCCGATCATTTTTACAAAGTACTACAACTATTGTGTACTCTGCAAACATAGAGCCAAGCTTCCCTCTCTCATTCAGAGGCAGTAAGACTTCCCATTTATCAGACACTGGCAACATAGCATGGTTTTTAAGCCTTGTATTGACAGCCATGGATTTTAGAGTCATGACAGGGATTATGGCATGTATATCTGGGACAGCCAGTGGAGAGTACAGCATCACTGTACCGAATCTTATGTGAGGTGGTGGGAAAATTGGTCCCCTGGAGACCAAGTGTGTACAGTGGATTTCTCAGTTATCTGGATCCTGATGAACTAGTAAGAGTATATTATGAAGATAGCTGGAGTTCATTAACAGCTGGCATCCTGTGCAATTAGTTTGTGTGATTCTTTCACAGACAGGCAGCCCCAGATGCATCAATATATATGAAAATTATCTAGAAGAAAATAAAACAATGGGTATGTATTCTGTTTTCTTACTCATGCATATCTAGATTTAAACTGAGCCAAAATGTCTGGAAGTGCTGCCCATTCACTTATGCTATCATAGTGAAAAGTGTTGTGCTGATTTGGTCATTACTAGTTCCCCAGTTGAGGGGTGGACAAAAAAGCCTTAACAGCTTTTTCCAAAGGGTACTAATCTATTTTAATGTCTGCTGGCAGACTTACCAGTTTTACTTGTCATGACACCATACAGTAGCCTTTTGTTATTGTATTCCCTTTCAGAGTCTATGAGAAAAAAAGATGCTCCCCTGCTTTACTAGTTCTGAAACTACCCCCACAGGCTGTACAAATTCCTTCTGGGATCCAAACTGTCAGCAAGCCTGTGACATTCCTGTGGGGAGCAGGTCTGTCAGCTCAATCCCAGCATTACAGACTTAGTTTCAAATCGATCCTGAACTTTGTTCCTTCACTTGAGATACCATCTGTTTCCCTCCCTATGGCTGTGGTGCAGTTACTGGGAACAGTTACCTCCACATTGGAGGAACTTGTTTGCTCATTTCCCAAAAGATCAAAAAGTTCCCCATCCATTTTTGGCCTTCACTTGGCACTGTGGATGTCATGGGACACATTTCTTTGGCTCTAGCCCTTTCAATACACAATGAGGGTCTTTAAAAAGCTCCATCTGCACTCTCTCAGGAGCTGTTTTACACTTTTCCCAGGGTGTAGTTTGATTTCTTTGTCTGTGGTGTTTCTGTATTTGCATGTTTAAAGAAGAATCAGCTAGTGTCTATATATAAAGGGTAAATAGATCAAATAATAAATCTGCTGAATAGTATAAATATGCGCACTTTGCATAGCTCATTAACATGAATTTATTCTAATATCCAGCCAAGGAATACTTTGTCAGCGCTCCTGTGTGTTAGGACTATTCGGGTTCTCCAGGCAGTCACAAGGCACCAATCCACTCCATCCTCCCAGCCCACAGGACTCATGATGGAAAGATGTCTCTCATTTTCCCAAGATGCTCCTAAACCGGGTGGGGCATTTTACCACAAACGGCTGAGAATGTGTAGCATGTCCCTCCTTAAACAAAAAACCCCACTCTCTTCTCATTCTGGGAGCAGGGACCCTGTTAGAGTGAATGGATGTTTTACAGAGGAATCAAGATAGAAGCATTATGCAAAATGAACTTATTTGGGATTATCCAGGGCAGAATAAACAAATCATCCCCAGACAAGAGCTACTCAGTGCCAGTGCACTTGAAACTTTGACACCAGACTGAGAAATTTAAGTAAAAGCTAGGAGGACCTCTTGCTTTTACCTGTTTTCATCAAGTTTCCTATAGATACATAAAAATAATGCTCCTGCTCCTATCATTTTAGTTTAGGGGGGATATTGAGGCACACCCAGCAGTCACTTAACTCTGCTGCCACCAAGAAGGCCAGTGGCTCAGTATTGGCCTGTTATTTGTTTAAACGTTTACCACTGATTTCAATAGGAACAGAATGCAGCCGATGCTAAGCGTTTTTCAGACTCTCACCCTGACTCCTTTGGGTTTCTTTACAGAGCTGTTAGTACGCTGAATGCTGTACCTTTCAAAAATTAAACAAAGATGTATAGTTTGGCACATTTTTCTTCTTTCTAGTGAAGGAATGAAGTGGAAAATATCAAAACTACATCGTTTGAGACTCAGCTGTGGAGGATTAAAAAAAAATCTGCTTTAAAAATATAGTACAGTGTATATGGCCAATTTATTTCAGGTAACTGCGGTGAGCGAATGCAGAAGGCAAAAAAAGATACAGCATTGTCAAAACCTTCCTGCAAAGTGGATCTCTTTGATGATCCCAGTTACATCAACACTCAGACCCTGCAAACTACAGTCTCTACTACTAGAGGCCTTGCATCAACGCAGAGCTATGGGAGCCCGCTGCATCATGGGAGTAGGTTCATATTTCAATGACGCATATTATCTTAGCCTTGACAGGCGGGGATTTGTCCACTGAATGCATTGGGAAAGATTCTGTTTTCTCCATAATAATTTGAGAGAGAGAAGAAACTTGAAATTGTGCTGTGCTTTTCTTCAAGCCCCCTCTGGATTTGGGAAACGCACTTTGAAGGGAACCATTGGCCTAGGAATTATTTGCAGCCTGACTGGCCATATCCCAACCCAACCATTTTGGTTACCAGAGGCAGACATTTCTCCATTTTGCACAGAGCTGATGTAATATTTCCCTTTTGGCTGCATCAGTCAGATTGTCTTGTATTCCTATACAGGCCTGGAATCACTCAGCATGACTCTCACAATTAGGTGTGACATGCTTTTTATTGTCAGCCAAAGGAAAATGAAAAATGAGGTCCACAGATAGTGTGGCTAAAATCCAAATTTGTTTTGCAGGGAAGACCTGAAAGTTTTAAAATGGAGGTGCCAAAAATATGGCCGGTGGACCTAATCTATGGGTCTCCCAGCGGGGCTGAGAATTCAGGGATGGGACAAGTAGACATGGGCCTGCCACAAAATTCAGGGCCATGGGGCCCCACTGCAGGTGGCCCTTCTTGGCAGAAGGAGTGGCGGGTGAGTGATGGCTGTGCTGACACAACACCACTTGCATTGTTGTTGCTGTTTGCCCCGCCAGTGTCAGGCCCAGGGCACAGAGGAAGTTTGACACCCTGACTTCAACAGGCTGTGTTTAATCACAAATAATCAGTTTGTGTTCAGTATGCCCCTTCTTGGTGAGGTAGTAATTCAATAAATGAAAATAAGCATGCAAACAGATAACTAATGCATTTTGCCTGTGGGTTTTGCACAAGGTAGAATGCTTTCTAATTTATATGACTCTAAAGATATTTTGCCACTTGTAAATTTATGTATATTAATGAATTAGAAAAAATAAAGAGCTTTCCTGTAGGTAGTGCAGTGTTCTCCATTTAAAGTGCATAGGTTTGGAATGGAAAATCTCTGTTTTACCCAGAACGTGCACTTACCCAAACATATTTGAAGTATTGCTCCTGAATGACAGGAACAATGTATGTTTAGCCTTTGCACCTTATGAAGGTTCTTGATCTTGTTACTTGAGCATTTTTTGCCTCCAGTAGCAGCCGAGAAATTAATGGGATCTGATCTGTTCAGGGCTGCTATTAGAAGCCTTGGGATTAACAGCTACTAATCGATTTTGCCAATTATACATGTTGAGCCATGTACAGTTCCATTGCAAAGTGGATCATGAGGCTGAAATGTTCTGTGCACTTAAGTAGTTTATACACTTAATGTGCAGATAACTAATGTTTGTTATAATGTAGGCAATAGGCAGAAATTGAGACTGGCATCACATTATGAAGATAAGCAAATTATGCACTTATCTGACATTCATGTAAGTGGAGTACCCTCTACATCAAGGGTGGGCAAAATGAGGCCCGGGGGCCGGAGGCAGCCCACCAGGCCATTCTATCCAGCCCACGGGGCCCCTAAAAATTTAGAAAATTAATATTAATCTGCCCTGGGCTGCCTGTCATGCGGCCCTCAATGGCTTGCCAAAACTCAGTAAGCAGCCCTCTGCCCAAAATAATTGCCCACCTGCTCTACATTGTTATATCATTATATTTTCTGTTACCAAGTAACATATGGCAATTGATTAGCTATTTGATGGGTCTCACACCTTTCTTTCTTAGTTCCTACATTTTTAAAATAATAGTGATAATTTTACCTAACTCACTGGGATGTGAGGATTCATCTGTGTATAATTCTTTGAAAATATTTAATATTATTACTATCTAGAAGACTGGTTTAATCACAGCTTCAAACTGAAATTATTCCAATCTCTAATGCATGTTCCATTGCTGTAAAAATATGCAAGTTCTTTCTTTTAGGAATTAAATTTTAGGTGAAGGATCCACTTTATTTCCTTTCCTTTCATTTAACTTTAGAATTACCAGAAGCTGGTCAGCAGAGTACCACAAGCAATATGGCTAGTCTCTGTGTTCCACCACAAATAAAGCAACAGCTAAGGAGTGAAGATTGTTACCATGGCAAATTAAACAGGAAAGCAGCAGAAAGTCTTTTAATCAATGATGGGGATTTTTTGGTGCGAGAGAGTGCAACATCACCTGGTCAATATGTATTAAGTGGATTGCAAGGGCGGCAGGCAAAGCACCTGCTGTTGGTGGATCCTGGAGGCAAGGTATGAGTAGTCCTTTCATTGAAATGTCACATCAAAAGGTACTAGTTTGCTCAAATATTTTGAAATCAAAATGCATATTTAAATGGCACTCTACTGAAGCTAATGGCAGTTTTGCCACTGACTTCAGTGGTGACAAAATGTCATCCCGATGTAAGCATTTGAGGCCAGAGCTACAAAGGCTAGTAGGTTGTCCTATGTAGATGTATAATCAACATATTCCTTGATGAATATGGAATGTTACTATTTTTATTGTGTTAAAAGCTAAATATGCTGATAGCATCAAACAACAAAGTAATGTATTTTCAGACGCTGAAAAGGTGAATGGGAGAGTCAGTTTTATGTTACCTGAAATCAACCCTTTTATGGCTTTTGTAAAACTTCTTCCTCATATGACTAGAGCAAGTAAACTATGAAAGGTTTTGCTAAGGGGACTGAGAGGAAACACTTCTGGAGAAAAAAGTGTGGCTTTGCTCCACTCTGCTCTTTTCTTCCTTGCTCAGTTCTACACACATTCATTCCCTCTTCCTCCACATGAGACCCCTGCTTCCCCTTCTTCCTCCATGGTGCTCCCCTACCTGTTCAGTGGGTAGAATGGCATCAGAGCTGGCTGTACATCAAACAGTAGGTCAGCTTTCAAGGTTTTATTTCTGGCTGACACAAAGCTGTAAGGAAAATCAATTGGCAGAGATAGAGATAGCAATACAGCATTTTAACTACTCTTTCTGTAAAGCCAGAGGTCTGTGTTAACACCACACTGCCAATCAGTCCTGCACCCATTGAGTTAAATGGCTTAAATTCATGTTGACTTCCATGAAATGGCTTGAGATCTGTGATTTTTTTTTTGAAAGTAAATGTATTCATTTTTTTGTCTTTCCCAGGTAAGAACCAAAGACCGTGTATTTGATAGTGTGGGTCACCTTATTCACTATCACATGGAAAATAATTTGCCAATCATCTCTTCGGGAAGTGAAGTCTGCTTGAAACAGCCAGTAAGAAAAGAGAATAACACAGGACACATGCAATATAACAAATGACCTTATTGGATTTCCTGATTCTCAAGACAGTTTGTTTATGAACATTGCATTGACTATTATGAAACTTCATTACTACAAAGCCAATTCAAAAAGTATAAACTGCACTTTTCAGTTGCTGTTCCAGAAGATTTTTTTTGTGTTTGTACATATGAATATATGTATATGTGTATATCTATGTAGATCTGTAGAGATCAATATGCATAGCTATATAGATATATATAGTCTTAATCTTAACAGAATGAAACCTAGACAGTGAGAGATCCATTTGTGGAAAGGTACTATAGACATGTACAAATGTCACCTGTAAGGTCATACTGAATCAGGAAGTATTGAAAAGCACAATTAAACCTTTACATGCAAATGCTCACTTGAACAAACTGCTGGGACATTAGTATGTGCCTTTTAGTCGTGGAATTATTGGAAACAAATATTATTTATATTGGATTAGTTTTGAGTGCTTAGATGAAGATGTGTAGGCATAGAACTATTTGCCAAAATAAATACGATTTGAATATTACAAAAAGGACAATTGATTATTATAGACACTAACTTTATTTCATTTTGCTTATAACAGCACTTTAATAGCAAATAATGTTCAAGGTGACTTGCATACACAATACAGAAAGATTGACTGATTTCTTAGTAAAAATCAGTTTTTTATCACTATCAGATTGCTTGAAGATTTGAGATTATGCAACATTTACAAAATTGAAATAAAAATATGTAAAATAATTTTGGAATATAACTTGTTACAGAACAAGCATGCTAGATCCTAATATTTTTGTGTCTTGCATCTGGTTTTACTATTATTGCTGATTAATACCAGAAATGTCTCTTTTAAAAGAAGTAGCTGAATATATTTTTCATTGATTCCATAGATGTTTACAACATAAGAAGCTGAAACAGATGATACATTTTGAGTGAAAAAACTATTTAAAAAAACTCTTTGCATGTGCTGTAGTTTATTATACACTTCCCCAATGACATAATATCTTCCTTTTTCACTTAGATTCCAGTTGTTCATAAATGTGGGGAAAAGTCTTTTAAACAAAGCATACAGATTACATTTTGCCACAATAAATACTGTAAATCTGAATGAACGTCTATTCAGTGTGTCTGAGTGAGGCAGTAATTTCTTGGGGATTCTGATCAAGGATCAGTGTTTAATCAGTAAAGGAGTGGGAAGGAATAACATGGGAGTGGAGTCGATGGTCTGGTAGACACTGGCCAAAGGATCCTTCCTTGGTTTTTAGAGAAGTGATATTTTTTAGCACAATCAAAAAACCTTTCTTCCCCTCCCCAACTAAGTCAGTTCCATCAGCCTATGGAAGTCAGATGTTGCATGGATGGTACAGCAGCAGCTGGAGGAAAATGTTTCTCTGCAAAAAGGAAATTCTGTGTCCTCATTCAGTATCAACATTATTAGGAAAAAAGGTTCATAAAATTAAAAGTGAAAGTTTGGTAACGAAAGGCAGTGACCTCCATTGAAGAGAAACTTTGGGTTAAAGAACAAAGTTGATTCCTTTTGTATCATTAGGCCTGAAGAAGCTATACTCCTTCATCCCTATGTAATTGTATTATTAGCTTATTCAACTTGCCTATGCCCACTGAAACAGAGAAAAACTTTAAAGTATTACTTCAGTTCATAGTTGGTTATTTGGCTTGGTTCAAATCCTGGGCTTTCAGCAGAGAAGCCCAGCCTTATTTTTGTCTCCTCACAACAAAGACTCTGATCTGTGCAGAACGGCCGCCAAGAGTCGCTAGTTGAATTTTGTGGATTTGCAAAGCTACTTGGCACAGAATTTGTGCTGGGTTTGAGTCACTGATACTGCCTGACCTCTCAGTCTGGGTTTGACCTCCAAGTATGAATCAGAAAAGACACCATCTTTTCTGGCATGTCTGGGAGAGAGAGAACAGCACGTGGCTGTTTGAATTTCCCATTGAACATGGTGTTTGTGGTGTGAAGAGCAGTGCTCTCCCACCACAGAAGGGTGACAGACAATGAGCTGGTGGAACTACCCTTCTGCTGGGCATGATTGAGAGCCTCCCACGCCTCCCTGAAAGACAAAGCTTTTCCAACACTCATAGACATCTTATTCAGAACAGGTGCAGGTGCAGCTCAGAGAAACAGATTGAGCCCCTCCCATGAAATTCGAGTAGCTGGATTCAGATCAGGGTTTGTGGCTTAGGTCTCTCTTGGGTACCACTGAGTGAGCCTTGGGAGAAATGGAGACAAGAGAAGCAGTCTACCTGCACGCTGCTCCAATCCCCACACGACGCCTCAGCGTGGGCAACTGGTGCCTCCTGAGTCTGGGGGGCCATCGGATTGCTGACGGGTGGTCCCCCAGTGGCCGATTGCCAACCGGGGGCAGGCCCCCCAGTGGCCAATTGCCAAGCTGGCGGTGAAACTGGAAGTGCACTTCTGGTTTCACAGCTGGCACTTCCAGGGGTTGCACGGCTGATCCCAGGGGGTGCACATGCACCCGTGTGCACCCCTACGCATTGCCAATGTGCCTCAGTGCCTGGCTGTGGAAAAGAGAAAAGCAGACCACCAGCACGAGAGCAGGGGTGGCCACAAGGGGCAGGGGTTTACATGAACCCTGGGGGCTCAGTAAATGGAGGTGACAAAATGGAGGCAGCGCGAAGATCAAGAGGGGGCATGTGAATCCCAAGACCCCTGCGCTTGGGCTGGCAGGTGGGACGCCTGCCAATGGTTTTGGGAGTATCTGAAGTCCCAGGGGAGAGCCTGGGTGGGAGGATGCTCGGGGTTGTTGCACCCTAGGTGGTGTTTCGGTTGATTGAGTTCGGTCTGCTCAACCACTATGGTTTTTGGAATAACTGAGTTCTGCTCATCGATATGATCTGGAACTGACCTGACCTGGAACGTGCAATATATTCATTAAAATAAAAAAATGAAGGCAGCCTCAGGCCACTTTGAGACAGGTGCGGGCAGGATGCTACTGGGACCACCCAGGGCGCCGGGGACAGCCTGCAATGTTGCCAAGGGAGAAGAACAAGCGGGGCTGTCTCTAAAAACAAGCCCAAGGCTTTCCAAAGAAGGAGTGGGGGCGCTTCTCACCCCGCCACTCCCAAAAAACTAAAGGGACTTTTAAAACGAACTAAGCCCAATTTTGCTTATTGTAAGTGCGGCGGGCAGCGCCGAGACCCCCACAGTCAGCCCCCCCCGGGCAGCAGCACGAGGTTCCTCCTCCCACCCCGCTACGTCACACCGCGAGCAGCACACACCCCCGGCCGGCCCGGAGCTATTGGCTGAGCTCCGCAGCCAATGGGCGAGCGGCGGCTCTTCCCGCGGCCACCCGCGCTTGCTTTCAAACAGCAAACAGAGGCGTTTGCGAGGCAACCGACCTTGCTCCAGGAGCGAGGGCAAGTCCCGCCCCTCGCGCCGGTCTCCGGGAGGCGAAGAGCGGAGTTCTGGGCCCTGGTTGGGGGTTTCCGCTGTCACTCAAAGCGGCGGGAGAGCCAGTTCGAGTGTCACGCGGAAGAGTGCCCGGGGCTTCTTTGTTGCCCGGAGGCCGAGCGGCCCCGGTGAGTCCCGGGGCGGCAGGGCCGGGGCCCCTCTCGAGGCCGAGGGGTGGAGCGGGGAGCGCGGTCGCGGGTAGTCTCGGCGTGGCGGGGGCGACCTGCTCCCCGGGCCGGGTTTGCTGGGAGGCCCGTACCGTCGCCGGCATACATTTAACCCCCTTAAATGTCAGTTATTATTATAATGAACACCATTATTAAATCCGCCACTCTAGCATTTCTGGCACATACCCCCAGAGATGTGTACCCACCCCAGGGGCATGCGCGCCGCAGTTGGGGAGCCCCTGCCCTAACGCCGTTGGCACCAGCAGGATGTGGGTGTGATGAACGTAACATTTTGAGGTCGGTTCAAAGTTTTGAAGTGACCGGAAATTTCTTGCTTCGGTCCTAGTTGGGCCCAAAGCTCTGGAAGCAACGTGCTTTCAGCATTTTGCACATCTGCTCTTTGTTTAGCTGTACCTTGGGCTACAAGGACAGACTAAACAGCATTAGGAGAAAGTTGGATTTATCTGCCTATATTGAATGAATACTTGCACCCCACCTAGGAGTTCAGCGGGTTGCGATGACGCAAGGATGCCTTGCTGGAACATAAGCAAACTCTCCGACTCTATGTACAGGGTGTATGTTTTAAATGCTTCATTTATGTGCAGGCGTGTAGGTTGTAGCCATGTTGGTCTAAGGACACGGGCAGACAAGGTTCCTTGGGTGAATCTGATATCTTTTATTAGACCAACCCAAATAGTTGGGAAAAACATTCATCCTTGTAAACAGGATTTACAAGGATGAATGTTTTTTCCAACTATTTGGGTTGGTCTAATAAAAGATATCAGATTCACCCAAGGAACCTTGCCATTTATGTGCATATTTTAATTCCTGAAACACTAAATTTTTGGAGGTTAATCGCGTTGCTAATCTATCAAGGTGATGCAATGGAAGATCAAATTAATGCATGGATTGTTTATGTCATTTCTTTGAGTAAGTGTTTTTCTGTAGTGACTTCTTTGGTGTTGATATGTACCTTTTCCTTCTCTTGTGACAGGCTCTTTTGGATACAAAACCTTGTCCTTAGAAAACAATGTCACTTGACTTTGACAGTGGAGCTCTGCAAACTCAGCATGAAGAAGAAGAGGAGGAAGAATATGACCAGGAGGACTATGCAAGGGAGCAAGAGGTGAAAGCAAATAAAATGTTTAAAGTCTGATTTAAATCTCCCCTTTTCATTTATTCTATTAACATTTGAATTTATTTGGAAGGATTAGGGCTCTGAATTGATAATTCCGTGGATTCTTGAAAGAATTTAGCAGTACACTTGCACTCAACAGTTTTACAGTATTTTGTTTTTAAAAGGATTGCAATTGATCATCTTGGTTTTTAGCCTCGCTTAGGAGAAATGTAATCTACTATGGTCACAGGCTTGAGTACATAAATTTTCCAGAAAATAGTGTTGTGAGTACTGGTATTCTCATCTTTGGAACTGAGGCCGTTCCGTGTCTGCCTATGCTGAGTATGTCTACTGTTGTTATTCTACATGTGAAATTGAGAAAGTATCGTATTGTGTTAACACACATGTGCTTATCCAGTAGTGAGCTCTGATTACATCAGTGGACCTTTATAGTATACTAGCCAATTGCCTGTCATGAATGACAGAGTGTTTAAGGGAGTGCTTACCTGCCCCTCGCTCACCCTTTGGGGCTGGCCACATAAACAGTCCCTCCGCTGCTGCCACCTTCAGCCTCTGGCATGGTGGCTCCCTCTCCCTTCCACCTCTGCCTCCTCCTGCGGAGCAGCGGGGCATCCCCTCCCCATAAGAGGCAGTGGCTCCCTCCCCCCGCCTACCTGCCTCTGCCTTCTGCAGAGCTTCCCTTTGTATGAGGAAGTGGCGGCGGCTCCCTCCTCCAAGCCTGCCCATCCGCCTTCACCTCCTCTCACTGAGCAGCAGGACTTTCCTCCACCTGAGGAGGTGGCAGTGGCTCCTCCCTCCCCCCCCGCCCACCTCCACCTCTGCCCACGGAGCAGCAGGGCTCCTGCCTCCCTGCTTGACGCAGCAGCAGCTCCCTCCATGCCTGAAGGGGCAGATCCCACGCAGCCAATTGCTGCCAACCCTCTCAGTGGTGCATGCACAGTTGCCCTAAAGCGTTATGGACGAACAGACACACAGATGGACTAAACCCTTTATTATATTAGAATGCTGAAAACAGGGATTCTTGCATCTAATTTCTATACTGATTTAGGTATAAGAAAACAAGCTTTTTACAAAAGTGTTGAAGTGCTTAAACAGTATCCACAGAACTCCTAAAATGATATTTAAAATGGTTAATTAATGTTTCTTTCAGTGTTTGCAAGAAACATAGCATAGCAAACAAAGAGTAGCCTTTGTCCCTGTAAACAAAAACTGAAATGTATATGGATAGTGCTTGGATACTAGGGCTGTGCAAAGCTTCAGATTATGATTCAGATTCGGAGATGATTTGGATGATTCGGAGGCCGAATCTATGAATCCGAATCGAATCACTGGAAGGTTTAGGCTTTCTGAATCAATTCGGCCATAGAGTATAATAGGGAATCAATGAAATATCTATAACTTTGTTTTTTGTCTGATCTGGATGAAACTTGCAGGGATGGTAGCTGCTGCTGAGAGCATGTAGCATACCAAGTTTCAAGAAGATCGGTGTAGAGATTTGGGGGGAAATGCACCTCAAGGTGCAGACAAGCAAAACTTGTGACATGTGTGACACTGTGCGTGTTTAGGCGCAGCAGGGTGAAAGCTGCAGGGATGGTAGCCCCTACTGCAGCCACGAAGCCTGCCAGCTGTCGAGATAGATAGGTACAGGGGGTTCTGGGGCCCTGTACCCCTAGCTGCTGACAGACAAAACTCGTGACATGGGTGCTTGTGCAACTGATTCTCTCTGTCTTGGGGCAGTTGATTGTCTGTATTGATTATTTTCTCTCCTTAGTCTGTGGTTTTGTAGGTGTTAATTGTTGCTAATTAACTGGCTACATTAGCTAGGTACTGTGTATTGAGCTGGTCCCTGAGTGAATCATGATTGATTGGTAACTGGTAACACAGTAGTTTAGCAGCCAGGCCTCAGCAATGTCTCCCCACCTCCCGCCCCAAGACAAACACGGTCAGTTGCTCAAGCACCCATGTCACAAGTTTTGCTGGTGAGCAGCTAGAGGTGCAGGGCCCCAGAAGCCCTGCACCTATCTCCTCGACAGCTGGCAAGCTTCGTGGCCGCAGCAGGGGCTACCATCCCTGCAGCTTTCATCCTGCTGCGCCTTAATACACATGGTGTCACCCATATCACAAGTTTTACTTGTCCGCAGCTTGAGGTGCAGTTCCCCCCAAACCCCTGCACCGATCTTCTCGAAGCTTGGCAGGCTTCATGCTCTCAGCAGAGGCTAACACCCCTGCAAGTTTAATCCAAATCAGATAAAAAACAACAAAGTTATAGATATTTCATTGATTCTCCATTATACATTATGGTCGGATCTCCAAGGCGGCTCTGAAGCTTTGGAGCTGCTTTGGCCAGATCGAAACGGAAACCTGGTCCGGAGCTCCGGATCGGATTGCTGACATCCGAAGAAGCCATGTCCAAGCTAGGTCAAATAGCTACCTACTCGCACAGGCCTATTGGATACCAAAGGAGACAGTGTTTGTCTGTTTTGGTTTTATACATAAATAAATAGTGCCACAGTTTATGTACAGGGTTTAGTCAGGAATATTCTCATTGGCCCTCTGTTTTATTCCCCACACCTTTTGGGGGTCCTACTTTCACACCAGTAAGAATAGCTTAAGTTTGCATCTTGAGAGCTATTACAAGCACTCTTCTCTGTGGACACCAGTATCATTTCCCAAGTATTTCAGGAGCTTAAATCCATTGTAGTGAAAGCCAGTGGGTTAGGAGTGTTTAAATTGCAGTGTCCTGGCTGGAGTCCAACCTACATGATTCCAAATCTCTTCTTCCTGAGCTGTCCTTGCAGGTTGAACTGGACAACTTATTCTTCCTCTCTGGAAATCCTTGCCTTCTGGAAACCTTATTTTAAACACCTGTTGTGGGGAGGGTAGTTTTTGGTGACATCATAATTTGTGTGCATTTACTTTAGTGTCTCCTTATGATGTCACCAGAAACAACTCTTGACATTTTATTTTTAGGTCCCTGGTTACTTTGCTTGCCTTTATTTTTTCCAGCTGAAGGGGATGTATCTCTTGTTCTCATTTTTTTTTTTTGTTTTGTGTGTTTACTTCATGAGGTCAGCTGTTTTTAACTGAATTCTTGAGTTGTTACTTATGGTTGGTGGTTTGTGTGCATTCGTGTGTGTGTGTGTCTAGGTTGTGAACAGGGTGGATTTAATTTAAATCATGATTTAAATCACTGGTCAGTAAGCTTCAATTTTAATCACTGTTTTCTACAAAAGGTGCATTATTGTTGTTTGATATCCTGTATTCATTTAACTTGAAACTTTGCACTTTTAGAGAGGTAAAGGCTTGATTCTGTACACAAACTTGCAGAGAGACAACAGGGCTGATAGGTAGGTAATCAAGTCTGTTCTCTCTTATCTCCATATACTGTTGTTAACAAGGATGTTATCTCTGGAGAGACAAATCCAGTTTGAGAACTGAAACTAAGTGTCACAGAGATGCTTAATCTTCTAAGCACTGAGTCCCTTTGGGTAGTTGTTTTCTTTAATCTTTACTAATCTATAGAGGAGCCTCAGGGAACCCCAGAAGATTGGGCCCCTGATGCAGTCCATGGCCTGTTCTGACCTATTTATAATTTTTTTTTTTTTTTCTAAAAAGGTTACATGAATGTATTATCTCAAATAGTGTATAATCCCTATTCCATGATGATCTCTTTGAGCTTTTAACAGATCTTAAATTAAAACCTATCTTTGTATAGGTTTATTTTTTAAAACGCGTCTTAAAAAATACGATTAAATAAAAAAGCTGATTTAATTTTTTTAAAAAAATCTGATTTTTAGTTTTTTCAGGGTTTTTTTTGTTTTTTAAATAAAACTTTTTTTTTTTTTTTTAAATTCATCCTGGTTGTGAGGAAGACTTCTGGCATCAGTCTTTAGGTTGTGATTCAATTGTTTTCTAATAAGAAGGGGCAGCCTCTGAGCCTGGTAATCATACCGGTTTTCTTTGTGGGAGCTGTCTGCACCTGCAGAGGTTGAGGCAGGCTCTGTTTCATGGTGAATGGTGATGTGTAGATTGTGCAAACTTTTATACTGAAGAGTAGTGTACTGAAGATGCATCATTTGATCCTTTTATGGATGTTCCTTCCATAAAATGTTTATTCCTTGGCTTCTCTCTAGGTAGCAACAGCATGGTCTGTGATGCCCTTCTTGGAAATGATAGTGATTATTCTTTTGAAGTGAAAGACTGAGAGGAGGCATTCTAAAATTGACAAAGCAATACTTGTTCCAGATAAACTTTGGAAATGAATGGAGCCACCACTGTGCCTGCAGCGTTAGCTAACCAAATTTGAGTAATCCAATCAGGTTGGTGTTCTCAGTAGTGATGAAACAGTGGATGTGATATGGAGTCTGTCTACACAGCAGGCTCTTTTTCAGCAGGGTAAATTAACTCTTGTTGAGCCCTGTGCTGCTGCAGCTAGAGTGCTTCTGGATACCCATACTAGTTCATTTAAGCCAGTGTGGGTATCTTTCTACTGCTTTGCAAATTCCAGCATAGAGATCCACAATTAACAGGGTAAGCCATTTTAAGCTCTTTGTGTTTATTTAATAACTGTACTACTCTCCTTATGTGCAGATCAACATGAAAATGATTAAATCTCAGACTAAAATTGTCTGTTTTTGACATATGACACATGTTCTAGTTTTGGGCAAACAAGACTTTTTTCTTTTTTAAAGGTAATTGTCATTATTCTCTAACTTTATAACTGTGTTAGAAAATAGTTGAAGTTGGGGAAAGTAATCAACTGAAAATATGGTAGTCCTTGCCTCTTTTGAGAAAGAACAAAAACACCTTCAGCCTCCGCAAGAGAAGGTTGAGAGGCGACCTTGCGGCTGCCTATAAGTTCATCACAGGGGCACAGAAGGGAATTGGTGAGTATTTATTCACCAAGGTGCCCCCGGGGGTTACAAGAAATAATGGCCACAAGCTAGCAGAGAACAGATTTAGACTGGACATTAGGAAGAACTTCACAG